CCTAAAACCCTAAACCCTAAGCTCTTAGCTTGAAGCCTGAAGCCTTGACCTCCGAAATCCTCAAACTCCTAAACTCTCAGCTGGTTTAGGGTCTAGGGTCAAGGGTCTTCCAGAACCTCCCCAAGCCCTAAGCCCTAAGCCCTAAACTCTAAACCCTAAACCCTAAACCCTAGACCCTAGACCCCAAACCCCAAACCCTAAACCCTAAACCCTCAACCCTAAACCCTAAACCCTAAACTCTAAACCCTAAACCCTAAAACTCAAGCTTACGCCGACCTCCCCCCAAAATCCCCAGCTGCCTGGGCCAAAGAGACCTTCGTCTGTTGGAGATCCTGCCACCCATAGACTCGTCGAGGGTTTAGGGTTTAGTGTTCAGGGTTTAGGGTTTAGGGTTTAGGGTTTGGGGTTTAGGGTTTAGGGCTTAGGGTTTAGGGTTTAGAGTCTAGGGCTCGGGGGCTATTTTTTGTGAGGGATCTAAGAGGGTCTCTGAAGGTTCAAAGGGTTCTGAAAGGGATCTGATATACGGGCCTTAATAATTAGAACAGGATTTTGGGGCCCATTATACTATCATTACAGTAAGGAACCCCAAAATAGTATTGGTATTTAGTTGGGCCCCTACATTAGAAGGGGTCTTTAAGGATTTGTAGGTGCTTAGGGTTTAGGCTTTAGAGGCTGAAGCTCTAAACTTAGCTTGCAGGGTTCCGGGCTCAGGATTCAAAGGTTTAGACTGGTTCAGGGTTCAGGGTTTCGGGCTTGGGGTTCTGGGGTTCGTGGGAGTTTAGGGGTTCGGGGTTGGGTTTAGGGTTTAGGGCTCAGGGTTGAGGGTTTAGGGTTTAGGGTTTAGACTACCTTCGAGCTGGTAGATCGTGAAGTTGACCCTTTACAGCTTCGAGTCTGCCGAAGGCCGCTGTCCTTCATTCCACCCTGTCGTTAGAATGGGACGTCCCGCAACATCCTCAAACCCTATAAACCCAAAACCCCGAAAGAAAAACCCATACCCTTAACCCACAGGGGTCGGGGACACTAAGGCTGCAAAGATCGCTGCTAAAAGCCGCGGTGGGCAGAGCGTGAACAGCACGGTTTAGGGTTTAATGTAGGGGCCTTACTAATTAGAATAGGGTTTTGAGGGTTCCTTACTATAATTATAGTATAATATACCCCCAAACCCTATTCAGACTATTAAGGCTGTTAAGGTCTCTATATTAGGGTTCAGGAAGTGTCAAATGAGCGTCGGCTGGCGAATCGAACGCAGTTTCTGCAGATCTTCGTCGGGTTTAGGGCTTCGGGGTTTAGGGTAAACCCACAACATGCAACCGTGTGCGTAAGTTCGGTTTTGCATGATCGTAAAGAGTCGGTCGCCCCGGCCGTTTGACACTCAGACGCACAACATTCGAAAACGCATGCCAGTGACAGATCGTACCGAACCGTCCGTACATTTTTGCTGTGCGGCACTGACCTCCGAACATGCAGGCGGAAGCCCCTTGCCCATAACAAACCGTACCCCGGAGCCCACAACATTCACAAGCCCATGCCTGTATTGAAACGTAGCTGGAGGTGGTTTGACACCCTTCAACCCACATCACTCACAAGCCCATGCCTCCATTGACAATGTCACACACAAGCGCACCAGCTGCCGCAAATTTGCAACTTTCCTACCATCTTGCAGTACCAGAGCAAAGAAGAAACGCTCACAAAACTCGTGCCGCACTCCCAACTTCGGACCCAAAACTTCCGCAAAAAGCCTATACCAAACCCTAAGCCCGAAGCCCTGAGCCCTCTAAACCCCAAAACCCAACAAAACCCATAACCCCTGTTAGATAACCCTAAACCCTAAACCCGAAACCCTAAATCCATAACCCCTGTTAGATAACCCTGAGCCCTAAACCCTAAACCCTAAACCCTAAACTCTGTTAGATAACCCTGAGTCCTAAACCCTAAACCCTAAACCCTAAACCCAAAGCGAGGCCCTGAACCCGAAACAGGGCGGCCTTGTCAGCTTCGGCCTTGATCCGCGCCTGCTCGGCCTCGTTTGGGGTGTGGGGCTTTGGTGTTTAGGGCTTCGGGTTCAGAGTTTAGGGTTTAGGGCTTAGGATTTAGGGCTTAGGGTTGAGGGTTCAGGATTTAGGGTTTAGGGTTTAGAAGCCGAAAAATTTGAAAACCCCATTCAGCCTCAATCCTTTAGAGTAGTGTATAGGGAATAGCACTAATTGTCCTTCATCCGGTTTCCAACTTTTGAGGGTTTCGTAGAGTTGCCCACGGCTTCTGCGGGATCTGAGTTTGGGGATTTGAGCCCTGAACCCCTAAAACCTAAACCCGAAACCC